ATAAGATTTATATATATCTTTTCCATATGGGTTGCATTGAACGCTCAGATTTCACCCATTCCTTTCTTCTTTAAACGTGAAGTGGTGTCGGAATTTCCAAGTAAGAAATGCATTCCTGCCCGTGCACTGCTGGTTCGGTTGTGCTGGCTCCAGGTCCACTGTGTAACTGACACCACCAACATTAACAGGACACGTACATTAGAGCTTCTTATTGCATGTTTTGTTTGGGTTTAGGACAATGCGTGGAATTACCAAAATTAGAGAGGGGATAGCCAAACATATGAAACAGGTAATGACTGCCGTGTAATCCATTTATTTCAACAAAGTAACTGTGTTCTAATTATCACCTATTTAAGCAGTAACTGTAACGGAAAACAGTTACTCATATTTTGTATTTAAAAACGTAAAGCTGGTACATGGATTCCGTTACTCCCCAACAATATGCGTTGACTAAAGCACTTTGAGTGTTCCAGTAGAGTAGAAAAGTGCTGTATAAGAACCACACCTTTTCCCATTTAACAAACTTGAGTAGTGTAGTGCATCTGTAGCTGCTGGAAAGTTGTTAACAAGTAAAATTCTGAAGGGGTCCTGGTCTGTGTCATGTCATTGATATGTCAGCCACAGAAATGTGCATGTCAAGGTTCACTTTACTTCTAAGCCAAATGCCAGTCTCGTCAATTTTAGGAAGTCAGCAATAAAAAGCTCATTTATTAATTTATTAATATGATGATTATTAATATGAGTATATCTGAGCAATTAACAACTCAGAGCTGGCACACATTACCTGGTGGGATGATCATCAGGTCTGTCAATCATTAAGAAATGAGGGAGTGCAGCGTGAAGCAAAACCAGTTCAGCATGTGTCCTCCTTCCAACCTTTGGGTGACGTCCTCAGGAAGTGTGTTAAATGATGAGGAGTGTTACAGCTCTTATTGAAGCAGAATCCATGATTCATAACAAAGTTTTTTTTTTTACTTTCTGTGTAAGCACAGTTGTAGGACAATGAGCTTATTCCTCATGTTCATCACAGACATAATTATTATCTGCAATCCACAGAGACTGCAGAGTCTGTGCCCGAAAACAGCGCCGACACCAGCACGGAGTCTGAGCCAGCACCTACAGGTGACAAAGAAGATGAGGGGGAGGCATTGAGTGATGAAGAGCAGGAAGTGAAGGAGAAGGGAGATGAAACGAGTGAAAAAGATACCAGTGAGGAGGAGGAGGGGGGGGAGGTGGTGCCTATCATAGAAGAGGACAGCAAAGAGGAAACTCCAGCTGAAGAAGACAGCAGCCAAATGAATAACAGTGAGATTGAAGACATGGTGGAGATAGAGGAGAAGGAGAAAGAGGCTGAGGAGGAAGAAACAGAAGAGGAGAATGAGGAGGAGTTCAAAGAAGTGGAGGAGGAGAAGGAGGAAAAAGAGAACGATAATCAGGATGAGCTAGGGGAGGATAAGCAGGATGAGCTAGGGGAGGAGAAAGAGGAGGAGGATGAGCTAGAGGAGGATAAGGAGGAGGACAAGCCAGAGGAGGAGGAGCTAGAGAAGGAAAATGAAGAGAAAGAGCTAGATGGGGATAAAGAGGAGGATGAGGCAGAAGAGGAGAAGGAAGAGTTAGATAATGAAAAGGAAGAGAAAGAGGAAGATATGGATGAGAAGGAGGAGCAGCGGGAGGAACTGGAGGAAGGAAATGAGGAGGAGCAAGAGATAAAGGAGGAGGAAGAGGAGGAGGAGGATTTCAAGGATGAATCTGAAAATGCAGATACTGAAGAACCTGATGAAATTGATGATGGTCTGGACTCCACTGAAGGTAAAAAATGATGAACTGGTGTGATTTATGTCACAAATTCATGTGGTCCCAAACAACAATCAGAAAATCCAGAGTGAAAAATCAGAGGCTGACAACGAAAACACTCTTGAAGAGTTCAAAGACCAACTTAAAGAATTTGAAGTCATTAATAGACAAAGATTTAAGATGCTAATGAAGGAAAACATTCACACAGATATTAGATGAGTTTCATTTGAACATCTCAACTGGGATTAGAGGAAGCAGACAATAAGACTAAAAGTTCAGATGAAGGGAGCCACAGGTTCTTAATTCTTATTCTTGTTACAGCAACACCTGCTGGTGAACTGGACCAATCAGATGATGCCACCCCCGTCACCAAACAGGGTAAATTTCATATCACATCTGCAGCCAATCACATTTCAGACAGAGTCAAATCTACTTCTTCTCTGAGATGCACAAAGCGGAAACATGAAGTGTTTTACATCTTGTTGAAGTAAAAATGAACATCTGTGTTTTCTTGTAGCTACCAGTTAGATGCTTCGCCTCTGAGCTGTGGGAGCTCAGCAACTGCAGGTACCATACCATATTGTTTTCACTGATGGAGACAAACCTCTCCATAATCACAGATTATAGGGAAACACAGTCTTAGTTTTCATGGGACCTATTTAAGTTCTCCAAAGCCCAGAGTATCCTTTTCCTATAAAACATAGGAGTAGATCCTGAAAATGTTCATGCTAAAGGAACCATACATTAACAAACCAGATGGTGACATATCTTGAGAAAAATAAGTGCATTTTCAACAATAATGTGTCATTTCTTTCATGTAGTCAATCTAACGTTATTAAATGCTCATTAGAATCTAAGTGCTAGAGTACGTCTTATACTAGTTATACTAGTACTAAATTTAACTTCCTTTGACTCCAAAAATAATGTGTACAGATTAGAAAAAAACTTTACTTTTCTACTGACATCATTTGGAGACCTCTGACTCGTTTTTCACCAATTCAAGGAACATTTTTTTAATTTTGTTTTCACGAAAGTGTGACTGTTTGCAGCTTCTATAGATGTGATGTTTGCTTTCAGAGTGTTGATGGAGAGAACTATAGAGAAGGTTGGTGTTCACTGTGTCTTTGTGGATCACCAGCTGCTGAGAGTAGCTATGGTACTGCATGAGGAAGTATGTGTAGGGAAGGATGGTGGTGCAGGACATTTATGAGGACAGAGGGTGACAGGTGAGTTCAAGGTAGGGGTGGGATTACATCAGGTCTGCCCTGAGCCCTTCTTGTTTACTGTGGTGATGGACAGGCTAAGGGATGAGAACATGGACCTCCCAATGCAATCCTCCACCTGCTCCCTTGAGCCTCTTCTCTCCAGGTATGCCTCTGCAGAGAGAAGGAAAGTGAGTAAAAGCAAAGCAAGAATACATGTGAATGAGAGGGAGACATGTAAGGAATACAGACAGTGAAGGCAGATGAGTTTAAATACCTGGGCTTAGTGGTCCAAAGAAAGGTGAAGAAGAGAGTGCAGATAGGGTCGAGACAAGCATCAGGGGCGATTTGTGACAGAGCATAGCAGCAGCAATGAAAGGGAAGGTTTCGAAGATAGTAGTGAGACCTGCTGTGATGGATGGTTTGGAGTTAAAGATATTAGGATGAGCAGGATGGACTAGAAATCAATGAGAGAGTGGATATATCGGATAAAGGAGGAGGTTTGTGGGTGTAGTAAATTGGGGCATGCAGAGGGCTGATGTGACAGAGGAGGATACAGGGATAGGAGGAGAATGAGCACCTGATAGAGAAGGAAAAAGGGAGTGGAGTGGCTGCAGGCCATATGTAATAATTGTTACTGTGAAGAGTCCATCCCAGATAGACTTGAATCAGTCACTGAGCAGTGAAGCAGTATGAAGTGAACCGAGGTTTTCTGTGCTGTTTCCTGACAGAGCCAAGCCCACAGCCTCCACAGTGGAATCCAGCTGCCATGACTTCAACAACCTAAACTGCATGAATTTCAACGTTCAGCCAACTGTTGTTTCCTCTCCCCATTTTCTAGCAGTGTCTGTTTTAACCTCTGGCTTCTTTGGTTTTCTCAGATTAAAAAAAGAAATGTCTTTCACCTGCTGACGGTCTTCTTTTCTGCCATGTGTCTCTCTTTCCAGCTTCTTGTCTGCAGAAATATTAAATCAGCTGCTGAGCTCAGATCTGTTTTGTGTGTCTGATTTCACACATTAACATGTACATAAGTCCCTCTTTAATTTACAGAGAATGTTTTTAAGGACGTGAAAACCCAGTCAGTGGTGTATACAGAGGAACTGCTAATAAAGTTTGAATTGTCGAAACCTCATCGACTCTTTCTTCCAACAGTCAGCATGCTTCCCTGAACCAGTAATGACGTGATTTCAGTCACACATTTTTATCATAAAATGTGACGTTATTGTTCAGAAGCTGGAGCAGAACTGAGATCGGGAAGGACCAACAAGTGTATGCTTTATTCATTATTTAGAAAAATAACTGATGACTGGTGGCTCATGTGGTAGAGCAGGGTGGCCACCGGTGAGAAGGTTGGAGGATCGATCCCTGTCTCCTCTAGCTGTAAGCCACAGGAACCATCAGTAAGGTCTTAGCTTAACTGTTGTTAAATCTTCTGCACGGAAACAGTTTGATATCACCTTTACTGACTTATAAGGAATTTCCTGTGGCTGGGATTGAGCAGTCAGACCGGAGTTAGCTGCATGGCCACATTCCTCAGGCTGCTCTCTGCAGCACCTCAACACTATTCACACCCTCTACCATACCTTTATATGCTGCTGTTATAGCCCTAAAGTATAATGACTGGTGATTTGTGGCACAAAGTGCTACAAATAAATAAAGCAGACTAAACATGCTGCTGAGGTGATTGCTGCACATTAGAGCTGTGAGACTTTTTTGTGAAAATTTATTCATAGAAACAATAAAGCTTCCTGTGCCACAGCCCAACCCATAGCTTGCTCCTGAAAGTCTCGGCTCTTTTCCTCTCAGCTGCAGACTCACTGCTGTTTATTGTCTGAGAATAAAGATTAAATCTTAAAATAGAATTCAAACTTAGTACAGATTTCATATGAGGTCAGCGGGTGCAGTGTAAATATAAAACTGTTGTAAAATTGTTTGCTGCCAGTAGAAAAAATATAATCAAAGAACAAATTTGTATTGATCTCTAATTTGACAGCATAAGTTACCATGGCGATACACCCAGGTAAGAATGGACCACCTTCACAGCACAGAGAATCCAGGGTTAAACCTGAAGTTAGCTGGATAAGATGAAGCCCTTCTTTGTAGTACAAGCCTCTGACGGTGCCAGCCCCATCCCTTCTTGTAAACATAAAGGTTAAATCCTGGTTAACTTGATGAGTTGATAACCAGCTTCATGTGACCGTTCATCCCAACCGCTGATGTTAGGCTAAATCTAGAAAACAGAAAGAGACTTTGGCTCTGTGGGACCTCGTAGTATGGGAGCTTGCTCACTTCCATCTGTTTCACCTTGTATCATGTTTTGCTTTCACCTGTTTCTGAAGCTGCATTTTGTCTGTCTCACCTGGTAGTCTCTGTTTATTTATTTCCTATTTGCAGCAGTGAGGCCTGTGGATACTGACATTTTAAGACAGCCTGGCGAGGTGTGTGGGAGACGGAAAAGTCAGGCTTACTGGTGTGGAACACTGATTCCTGAGATGAAGTTTCTTTGTGATGATGAATGAAAGGTGACCTGCAGGTCCTAAGAGGAGTCGCACATACCAAAGAAGAAGAGAGGGGTAGGGGGGCATTTCCTGCCAGATAAAGGGTGTTTGTTTCAACCTGTGATTGGTTAATGGGGTCAGGACAGAGGCCAACAGCAGGGGGCAATTCAATAGATCCTGCCACACCTGTGTGTGTGTGTGTGTGTGTGTGTGTGTGTGTGTGTGTGTGTGTGTGTGTG